GCAGCAGTAGTGAAGTTGGCCCAGGATCGGACATGATTTCGTTCTGCTGTGCATGTGGTCGCTATGAGTTGGTTCCGACTCGATGGCACCTGAGTCTCATAACAACAACAATACTGGACTGTGAACCACAAGGTCAGCCATTTAAACCCACCAGCCTCTTTGGAAATCCTATAAAGTGTCCCTATGAGACGAACTAACTCAACGGCACTCAACAACAACAATACCTATGTGGAGTTCTGGTGTGGTGCTGTAAGATAAACATGGGACTGCTAACCACAAGGTCAGCAGTTCAAACACACCAACCGCTCCTTGGAAACCCTACACAGGGTCGATGTGAGTTGGACGTGACCAGACAGCATTTAATAACAATACCTGTATTAAAAGCCAGGATGTCAAGACTTCATCTCTTGTACTTTGGACATATTATCAGGAGGGACCAGTCCCTGGAGAAGGACATCAAGCTTGGTAAAGTGGAGAGTCAGAGAACAAAGGAAGACCCCCATTAAGATGGACTGACAAGTGGCAACAGCAATGGGTTCAAATACAGCAACACTTGTGAGGATGGCGCAGGACCGGGCAGTGTGTCGTTCTGTGTTGTGCACAGGGTCTCTGAGTTGGAATTGACACAACAAAACACAACAACAGTATCTATATTCTTGATTAAGACCCTATTTCACTGTTGTTGTTTTTAAAGGAGTCCTGGTAGCACCATTGTGGGATGTTGTTGTTACGTGTCGTAGAGTTGGTTCCAACTCCTCCTAGCAACCCTGTGTAGTTTCCAAGGAGCCGCTGGTAAGTTTGAACTGCTGACCTTGCAGTTCTAAGCAACTCTGAGGTCCAGTGCATTATCCTGAAGCACCAAATTGCTGCTAACCACAGGGTCAGCAGTTCAAACTCACCAGCTGCTCTGTGAGAGAACAATGAGGGTTTCTGCTCGTGTAAAGATTTATTGCCTCAGAAATCCTAAAGAGTCTCTGAGCAGGAACCAACTTGACGATAGTAGTTTTGGTTTTCATGCTTTGTACAAATGCTGTTAGAGCATCATTTATGTGATACATATTTCCCTGTGCAGTCATGATGATTTCTTTAGTAATACAAAATATTCACCCTTAGCTGGATCTTTTATTATAATATGACCAAAAGTACTACTCTGGACATTTCCCCATCATTTAGGCTGCATTCCCACAGAGTACATGATCATGGGATTGTTAATTCTTCTGTATTTTAAAAATCCTCTTTTCCTAAACAGATTCATGAACACCAAGACAACACAGTCCTAACAAAATCCTCCCAATCACTACCTTCAAAAAGATAAAATAGTTAACAGGCAGCTGAAAAACTGGGGACATGTTTTGCTTTTTTACAGAATGGAACTTATAAAAAGTTGTCTAGATGGATAATGAAACTTGTTTATTTGCTTTTGTGTGAATGTGTGTCTGAATTAAGGCAGTTAATATCTGGACTGTGAATCCTAAGGTGGGTGGTTTGAGTTCTGCAGGAGAAAGATGAGACTTTCTGCTCCCACCAAGATTTACAGCCTTTGAAACCCTATAGGGTCACTGTGAGTGAGAACCAACAGGAGGGCACTTAACAACAACAATCAGAACATATGGCTGGCATGTCAGGCCAGGTAATGCACTGTTGTTCCAGTGACATATGTTCTCTACCAAACCTATGAACCATATTTACATAAACAGTCATGTGTCCAGGGAGACTTCCCTGATCCCCTCCAAAATTCATGCACATTGCCATCTCCAGTACAGCTCTCAACAATTCAGTCTTACAATTTCCGTTTATGTGCTCAAAAATGACATAAACAGGTTAAGCACTTGGTTACTAATCGATTAGTATGAGGTTCCAACCCACCCAGAGGCACTTGGTAATAAAGACCTAGCCATTTGCTTCTGAACGGTAACAGCCTTAAAACCCAGACTTGTAACACATAGAGTCACCATGAGTCACAATCAACTCAATGGCAACTGGTTTGTTGAGGGTTGTTTTGTTTGTTTTTGTTTTGTTCCAAGTAATATGTTTATTTTTATGACTGTCTCTTGCAGTATAACATGAGCTCATAGATGGGAAAATAATAGAGTCAGTACCTCCAGGGCACGTAGTTAGCTTACAAAGATACATTCTTAAAACCTATTATATCTTCTTGAAATGCACTACTATTTTCTCCAAGCCTTTTAAGGAATCCTGATGTGGCACTGTAGGATAAGCACTGGACTGCACTGGTTCCATTTCTTTAAAACAGCATCTTCCTCAACACTATATTCTGATTTTAAATTTCATTTCTTCAAAATAGTGGTTGTGTGCCATGGAGTCAGTTTTGATTCATGGCAACCCAATATTGGGTTTGGAGGCTGTAAGTCTTTATAGGAGCATCTTTCTCTATGGGAGCAGCTGGTAGATTCAAACTTCTGATCTTGTGGTTTATAGCCCACCTTATACCCACGTCACTACTAGTGCTCTACAAACACACTAAGAGTTCTGGAGAAAGTGTGATGTACCAAAACTCCATGCAGTCAGAACAAAACAGTCATTTACATGATAATTCTACTTTGAAAGTGACTAGTTTTATTTTCCTATAAAATTATTTAAAACATTCTTGGTATCCAAAGTTGAACCAAAACAAAAAAAACCCAATACATTTTTTACATAAAAATAGAAGAAAACTCCCTGTTGTTAAGTACCATCATATAGGGTTTCCAAGGAGCAGTAGGTGGGTTTGAACCTCTGAGCTTGTGGTTAGCAGTCCAGGGCTTACCCTATACAGCACCCCACCAGAACTCCAACCTAAGCTTTTACTGCCTTAGAAAGTCAGATTTCGTGGAAATAGATTTTCCTTCCAATTTCTGATGTTATGCTCAAGCTACATGTGAGAGGAAAAAACAGCTACTGAAGACAAAACTTCCAAATTTACCAGAATCATCCAAGGGAACTGTAAACGCACGGCTGGGAGTACAATTCTGTGTTCTATTTAAACAAGGTTTACAGAAAGCATCCGGATGAGATTGTTTGCTCCATGGCTCCTTCTCAGACAACAGAGGTCTACCCATTTGTGGGAGTGCTGTTACCCTTGGCAACCTCAACTAGAATCTGTCAATAGAAGGACCCTCAGTAGTATACTCATCAGGGATGTTTGTCTGGGGAGATCTTTAATCCCAGCTGTCAATACCCGACGGAAGCAAATGAGACATCTTTACAAAAGAAACATGAAGATGGTGAAGAGATCTTCCTAGGGGAATAAAAATATTTTTTAAATGACTTTGTTGATAAAACATGACAGCACTGATGGCCAGCATCAAGTGGCAGCTGCTCAAGTGACCCAGGCATTGGACAGCTATTTTTACTTTTAAGTTTAGCACAATGTGCACACTAGATGTTTAAAGAATGCAATAAATGTACTTACCAAATATTTCCCCTCCACTCGCATATTCTGTCACCAGATAAATCATCCGTTCTGTCTCCATGACCTGGAGCAAAGGTAGGAAAAGTGACAGGAAGCACCATAAATGACAGGCTGACATCGTGAGAAGAGGAACTAATGACTCCTTTTTTTTTTGTAATTTCCAATGTTAATAACCAATATTCTGTCTCACAGTGACCCAACAGGACGGAGCACAAATACTCCACAGGATTTCCAAAACCGTAAATCTTTACAACAGCACACTGCCACATCTTTCTCCCATGGACTGGCAGGTGGGTTCGAACTGCTGACTTTTCAGTTAGCAGCTGAGCGCTTTACAACTGCACCATCTGGGCTCCTGACAGATACTGAAGGATGGGGAGGTGGACATTATGCATTCCTTTGAGTTTTTTAAAGGAGTAAACAGTTACTATTTGAGAGTCAGAGTCCTTTTGCTATTCCATGAAACCTGTGCAATCTCTCAAACTTCATATACAACTGAGAGGCAAAGAAGTACCTAAGAATCAAACTAAAGTTCCCATTCAAAATCAATTACCTCATTAACCTCAAGAATGTACCTCCTCAAAACACACACACCATCCATGGGGAAAATAATGGAAATCACTTAAGAATTTAAAAGAAATCATTTAAATGTTCTGGTTCCAAAAGAAATGAAACATTTTCTATGCCAAGCGTATTTATTCAAACTTAGGAACAAAATCATTTCAAATAATCAAAATATAAATTACTCGTTTTTTTTTTTTTTTAATTTGACTTGGTCCCTATTACTTTATTTCTTTCTCAATTAGTTGCAGTAAAGTCCCTAGTTTTTTATTACCGGTTTTTTTTTTTCCCTTCTCCCAGCTATAGTGTATCAGCCCTTTCTTCTATTTCCACTTTTCCTTTAAACAAAATTTAAAAGTAACATTTATTTGCTCATTGCAAACACTGTAAATATCTGAGTGCAGGGAAACAAAGAAAAGGTCAAAGATTTCCAACATCTTCCAACACACTACCCAGAGAAAAACACTGTTAATAGCTTACTGTTTCTAGAGATGTTTCATCTAAAAGAATTATAACGTGAACTGCTTACATAATTTAAATGTTCTAGTAGTCACATTAAAATAGTTTGGGAAATGTAAAATTAATTCTAAAAATCTATTTTATCTATTCCAGTATATTAAAAAATATTATCAGTTCACCAATTGCTTCATTGCTTAAACTAAAATTACATAAAATTAAAATTCAATTCTGTAGGTCCTTTAGCCACATTTCAGGTATTCAATATTCACACGTGACTAGGAGTTACCATGTTGGACAATGCATTAATTTCTAGATATTCACTATACTTCACAGTTACCTTTCTTTCTTGTTTCCCAGTTACACAGCTCTACACATAAATAACATATAATACTATTATGCATTATAATTAATACACCTAGCTCACCTTTTTAATGACTTCATAGTAAATACTCCATTGTATTAAGTGTACGCTGATTTAATTTTATAATACAATAAAAGTTTAGGTTCTTGTTTGTTCTTTTAAATTTTAACTTTTTATTGTGAATGGGGTGATAGTTTATGGAGCTGATCAACATTCTTTTCAACAATTCATGCACATTTTGTTTTATCTCATTGACTGTGACCCCAGCAATGCAACATCACTTATCCTACTGTCTCCCTTTGTTTCCTGCTTCCATTCCTCCTTTTTCCCTAACCCTTATGGATACATGCTGCCCTTGGGTCTCAAATGATTGACTATTCTAAAGTGTGTTTACTTCTCTAGGGTTATTGCTCTCCTTTTAAAGCATTTCCAGACCTGAAGAGTGACTAAGGGCCATGTCTCGAGGGGTTCCACCAATCTCTATCTGGCCAGTTAGCCTAACCTCTTCTGTGATTTTGAGTTTTGTCCCACATTTTCCCCCACTGTATCCAGGACCCTCTAATGTGATCCTTCTCAAAGCAGCTGGAAATGGTAGCTGGGCATCATCTAGTTCTTCTGGTCTCAGGGCTGTAGAAATGAACGTTTGTATGTCTTAACAACCCATTTGGACTACGTGTTCAATTTTCTTCACTCTTCTTCGTTCCAGATAGAGAGAAACCAATAGTTGCCCTGCTCCTTAGATGGCTGCTCACAAGCGTTTAAGACTCCAGGGGCTACTCACCAAATGAGGATACAGAACATTGTCTTTGTGGACTATACTATGCCAATTGGCTTTAGTGTCCCCCAGACCATGGTCCTGAGTCCCCAGGCCCAGTGACTCGTTCCCTCAAGGTGTTTTGGATATGCCTAAAGAGTTTTCATAACTTTGCCCCCTATATGCTCCACATTTATGAATATATTTGCAGCAAAGGTCAATATCCATGTACAAATATCCTGTCAAACCATATACATTTGTGGTTATTACTCTCACTCTCCCTCCCACACCTGGTAAGCCTGCATGTCTATCCAGGCACCTACTTGTACATCACCATTAGTGCAGGATTGTGTATATAACAGTATCTACTTCTGTAGTCTTTAACCCTGTACTATGCTCAGCGGCTTCCCCTGATGCCATCATTCTCTGCTGACCTCCCTCTTATTGTATATTGCACTCAAGTTAACAGCTGTCTACCATCCAGTCAGTAATTTACCCTTCCTTGTCGTTCCACCCATGATAACATCAAAGAATATTTCTTTTAGTGTGAAAATCTTCCTTGACTTTTTACAACAATTGTCTCAGATAGTATTTGTCCTTTTGCAATTGACGAATTTCATTCAGCGTAATGTCTTATAGGTTCATCCATGTTATAAGGTGTTTCACAGACTAACTGTTATTCTTTAATGCTGTATAGTATTCCACTGTGTATATGTACTATGTTTGTTTATCCATTCTTCCACTGTTGGGCATTTACATTGCTTCCATCTTTCTGGTACTGTGAATAGTGCGGCAATGAACATGGATGTATATTTCTTATTTCTCTAGGATATATACCTAGAACAGATGGAAATCTCTATGTCTAACTTTTTGAGGAAGTCCATACTGTTTTCACAGTGGTTTACAGCCCCACTAAGACTGGGTTCCAGTCTCTCCACAAATATGCCATTTTCTGTTTGTTTTTTAACTGTGTTATTAACGATGAAGGGAAATGGTATCTCACTGTTGTTCTGATTTGCTTCTAAAGGTACCATGGACTGCTAGAAGAACAAGCAAATCTGTGTTGGGGGAATTACAACCAAATGCTCCTTAGAATCCAATATAGCAAGACTTCATCTCTCCTATTTTGGACATATTATCAAGAGGGACCAGTCTCTAGAGAAGGACATCATGCTTGGTAAAGTGGAGGGTCAGTGAAAAAGAGGAAGACCACTCCCAACACGATGGAATGGCTCAAGCATAGCAGCAATTGTGAGGATGGCGCAGGACCAGATGGTGTTTTGTTCTGTTGTACCTAGGGTAGCTATTGGTCGGAACCGACAACAAAGTTAGCAGTTCAAGCTCACCAGTTACTCCTTGGAAACCCTATGCAGGGTCGCTATGGGTAGGAACCGACTCGATGGCACTTAACAACAATAACAAAATACGTCATTGACAATTATTTTTTCCAATCTGTGGATTCTCTTATTTTTTTTGTAAAATCTTTTGATGTACATTAAGTGTCTAGTTTTTAAGAGATCACAGTCATCTAATTTGTCTTCTGTTTATGTCTTTTAAGATATATTTGATAGTATAATATTTATGACATATATTAGGGATCCTAAGTTTGTCCCTATATTTTTCACTGATGATCCTTACAGTTCTAGATTTGACATTCTAGATCTTTTAACTACCTTGAGTGTGTTTGTGCATATGGTGTGAGATATGGAGCCTGCTTCATTTTTCTGCATGTGGATTTCCAGTTTGGTCGACACTATTTGTCTCTTTAAGACTATCTTCCCCATTTAGGTTTTGGCTCTTTGTCAATGATTAGCTGTCCATATGTGGATGTTCCACAGGTCTATGTCTGCCATTGTGCCAGTGTCAAGTTCTTTTGACGACCATAGCTGTGAAATGGGTTTTGAGATGGGGAAATGTGAGTCCCTGTACTTCTTTTTTAGTTAATAGTGCTTTGCTATCCAGGGTCTCCTTTCTCTCAATACAAAGGGTTTTGGTTTGTTTTTTATAATCTCTTTAAAGGATCATGTTGGAATCTTGATTGGGATTGCATTGTATCTGAAGATCACTTTGGGTACTGTGATAGTTAAGGTTTTGTATCAACCTAATTGGGCCAGAATTCTCAATGGCTTAGCAGTTAAGATGTAGTAATCCCCCCCGCAAGAGATCTAATACAATGTAATCATTTTCTTGATGAGATCTGTTATAAGCAGCCAATCAACTCAAAGAAAGCTTCCTCAGGGGTGTGGCCTGCAACACCTTTCATTTTACAGAAAAATAAAAAGAGAAAGAAAGGAGCAGCGAAGGAGAGAACTACTACCAAAAAAAGAAGAGCTGGAAGAGTGGTACACCCTTTGGACTTTGAAGCTCCTAGGTCCAAGAAATACTGATGCCAAGATACTGGAGCTCTCCAAGGACTGCTGGGCCTATAGATGCTGTTAAGGACCTTTCTCCAGAGCCAGCACTCTGAATTCAGACTTCCAGCCTCCTAAACTATAAGACAATCAATATGTGTGTTAAAGCCATCCACTTGTGGTATTTGTTATAGCAGTACTAGATGGTTAAGACAGCAGTGGATAACTAACAAATGTAGTATTAACATTTGCGCAATGTTAATTTGTCTATCTCTGAGTATGGTCTATTCTTCCATTTATGCAGGCTTCTTGGATTCTTTCAGTATTTTGTAGTTTTCTTTGTATAGGTCTTTTGTTTCTTTGGTTAGATTAATTCCTAACAACAACAACAACTGTGTGATGCTGTGGGATAATGTACTAGATCCAGGGTCAGTTTGAACTGCAAGGTCGGCTTTTCAAAATCACCAGCTGCTCCTTGGAAACCCTATACAGGGTCACTATGAGTCGAACCAACTCAGTGGTACTTAACAACAACATTGTAAATGGCATTACTTTCCTGATTTCCTTTTCAGAGCTCT